CAAGGAGGAGAGCGAGAGAGAGCTAGGGCTATGCAGTGGCAACAACACCTTTGTGTGTAGTAATCTTGATAGACATGCACAAGTACACATGCATGGCCCATCCACCACGCTACCGGAGCAAATAAGTCGTGCATGCCGCTAATCAGTAGTCTAATCAATGGTTCATCATCCCAGAATATTTTTCTAATGTCATTGTTTTCTTTGTGTGTGAATGGATTTGCAACATGCACTAGCAGCTTCTTCAATCTGAAAGCATCGTATATGGAGTCTTGCATATACGTTATGACTCTACTAGTGGAGTAGTGGTGTCTTTTGTTTGGTTTCCGTTTCAGAGTTGGCCCCTGCTTTAGAGCAACTTGAACTATGGGAGATAAAGAGGTGTTGTTTTCTTTTTGCATGACGAGATAAGAGATGCTGATGGGCTGGGTTTTGAGAGACTATACCCTCACAACTAAAGGGGTAAATTTAATCTCAACCACTGATTGCATCGAATTTTGTAAAAAAATATTGAAGGAGAGTGGACCGAAGGATATTCTTTTTTTCGCGAATACGCCGCGGTTGGCGTATCATTCCATTGATAGGGAAAAGAACATACAGAATGGTGTCATGGAACGAGCATAGAATGGGGATGCTCAGCCGGTAACAAGATCACTAGCCTGCAGGGACGATAGCACTAAGTCCTTTCGCTCCGGCATAGGCCCAGGAGCGGGCGTCGTCTTGGATCGCGGCTAAGAGGGAGGCAGTAGAGGGCGTGGCCTTGTCGAAGATGATGGCGTTGCAATGGCGCCAGATTGACCAAGCCGTGAGAAGGGCAATGGCGGAGAGCCCTCGCTGCTGGCCCTGAGGTAGCTGAAGCATGGCCATGATAAGCCAATCGAAGAATCCAAGCGATCCATCCGGCACGGTGACCGTGGGACAACACCAGGAGAGGATGCCGTGCCAGATGATACGGGTGAAGACGCAGTCGACGAGGAGGTGGTGTAGCGTCTCGGCTTGCTGTGAGCAGAAGACACACGCCGCTAAAGAAACCGTACAGACGTTTTAGACACTTGACCCAGTCGCCTCTGATAATAACAAATGAGGTAAATACACCACAAGTCATAGAACTTGCACGACGGTCAGTTTGGTGCATAAACTTATAAAACTAGTTGATTTCCCGCGCGTTGCAGCGGGACGATTTGCACCAATGAGCTCATGCTAGAGGCATCACATTAAGAAAGAAAGAAAGAAACAAAAGTGATTTTTTGCTAACCTGCATGAAAGGATTAACCAAGATTAACAGTAAGCCATCTCCATCCAATGCATATCCGCACAAATATAGGCAAAGAAGTACACAAATCATCAGATATTTAACTCATGGGATTTGGAGTGCTTACCAAGCAACGTGACGCCATTTGAAGATGATCATCGTCTTTACTAATGCAGACAACATATTAGCCCAGACATGTTCAGCATCAATCACTCGATCAGATTCCAAATATATCTGAGAGTTCTTCCAAGAATGAATGGAACATCAAGTGACGGCTAGAGAAGATCCATTCAATGATAAATCCACAAACAAAATCTTTAGTGGTAGAACGCTGCCTCCATGCCCAGACATAAAGTGACCATGCCTCTACAATCTTCGGCGTTGAACCATAGCAGGCCTGTGAAATTAAAGATTGTGCCTTAATCATAGCTTTGGTGGTTGCAGCAAGACCAAGATGCGTATTTTTTTTTTTTGAGAGAGGACATCTACGCCTCATGTATTCATCATACATCAAACTGGAACAGCACATACGCGCACAGACACAAAGAACGAAATAGAAATCTTCAGACCTAGCCACCGAAGCAACATGAACCCCATGGAAACACAAAACAGGCCGGCCGATCTCCGTCTGCTCAAGCAGCCGTTGAGAAACCATCATCCGCATCGCCATCAAAGGCTTTGGAGGCCACATTTACGTCCAGTTCTAGCGAAGAGGAATAGAGATTGGCTTCTAGCATATCGGTCGGGGATAATCCCCATAGATTGGATTGCCCATGCCTCCACCAGTACTCTAGCTCGCCGGAGACGCGAAGGATTGCCGCAAACCTCCCCAAAACAGGGACTGAAACCCCAGCAACCATCGCCTCGCCGGGAGCCACCATCACCGGTGCGGCTTCCAACCAAGAGAACCGTCGCCACAGACTCTGGGCGATCGGATCCTCGATACAAAAGGCCTCTGACTCCTCGTCGGCACCGTATCTGACGCTGTACGAACGGCAAGAAGCCCGGCCATCCCGTGACGATGATGGGACACCACACCCCTAAACCTAACTCTATGTACACCTCCATGCTGGGATCCCAGTTCCCCTCAGCCGCTCGACACTGAATCGGCCGCTGGAAGCGAAGGGAAACGCCGGATCCGCCGCCGGAGGGCACCTCCCTCGTGTCCCCTTTTTTCTCCCCTCTGTACTGTAGCATGGGAGAGGCCAAGAGACTTCGAGGCAGTTGCCTCATGCGTCCCTTTGGAGCCGAGGAGCCGAGGAAGCGGAGCCAACTTGACAGCATTTAGTACGCCGCCAGATCAACTCTTGGGCTTAACCTGTGGCTAATCAAACGACCGCCTGATTTTATGGCGACAAAATGACATGCATGCACAATCGGCAGTGTTAACAGAGTGGAGGGTTAGTGTTCACGTGGTAGTAGGAGAATGGATGATGATGTGGATAGGCTGCATGCTTAGTTAAATAGGTTAGTGGGGATGAACTATTTAGGTATTATAGATTATAGATACGTGTTTCTGGTCATCTAACTTATTCACTCATTCATATACGGTGCTTTCTACCTTATCCTTGCGTGTACCAACGTGGCAGGGCCCATTGTTAGTGGCTGAGGTGGTGGTAATCCGTGTGCACTGTTTTTTTTTCAGATAGCAACCTTGCATTTTTTTATTTACACATAAAATTATCAAATAAAAAATAAAACGTTGTAGCTCAAGGCGGGATTCGACCCCACGACCAGCAGCGATTCGCCCCGCATAGGTAGCCACCCGACCAACTGAAAATTGGCCTTCAAGAAGAAAATTAGATTTATATAATTAGACCTCATGAATTAAAGTAAAATCAAAACGGAGAAACGATAATCCCCGCTTCAAGCCGGTGATTTTTCCAGAAGAATTTATGTACATTCATTCTGCACTATATTTTCTTTTATCTAGATTTTTCCGTTTACATTTATTCAAATACAAATAAATATTGAGTTGATTTGTCCGAAAAAGTATGTATGTTCATTCTGCAGTACATTTACTTTTATATAAATATTTAAATTTAAAGTTATTTGTATTAAAAAATTCAATAAATTTTCGAAAAGAATTTACGTACATGCATTCTATACTATATTTCCTTTTATCTAGATTTTAAAATTTAAAATATTGAAATTGAAACCAAAATTTTATTGGTTTGTCCCAAATAATTTACGTTCATTCATTCCGCACTATTTTCTTCGGGAATTTATATTTAAGGTTAGGTACTATGCGCAAAATATCTATCTGTGCAAAAATAAAAATTATACACAGTTTGCTGGCATTGGGATACATAAAATTGAAACTATACAATACATAGCACTCTCATCTCTATTTATCACCTATAAAATAAAATAAAATCTATCATACATAGAAAACAAGGAAAGAACAATACATAAGATAAATTTTGTTTATGTTGCCAAGTGTTATTGTGGCTATATGGTCGGCACTTGTACACGAGGCGAGCTTTTAAGGTCATTTTTTCGAACTGGAGCTTCCCCTTTTCAGCACACCCTTTTGTCATTTTGATTTCTATTTTAATTAGTGCGTTACGTATTAAATAAATAATGTGAACTGTGCATTTAAAACATCAAACGTTAGTTGGTCTATTGGCTGTCTATATGCGAGGCCAATGGTAGCAGGTCACCGGTTCGAATATCCCATCCTGCGATTGCTTTTTCAATTTATTTGAGGATTTTCTGCGTAAAGAAAAGAATGTAAGGGTCCTTTCTGACAAAAAACCGGCCTCAGCCACTGACAATGGCCCTGAACGGGCATATGGATACGACCGAATGTGTTCCGAAGCACTGTATATGAACGAGAGGACAAGTTAAATGACCAGAAACACGTATTTTACAAATTTATGCACTAAACTGACCGTCGCATGCAAGTTCTATGACTTCTAGTGTATTTACCTCTAACAAATCTTGCTAACTTGTGATGATACAAGCCCGCATACAAACTTGTTTTACCGTGGTACTGATTTTTTTTCTTATTATTGTATAATTGGTTTTGATTTTTCGTAATCAGCCCTGATCTCAAATTTAGCATAGAGACCAGTATTTTCTAGGTACGTATGGCCCTGATCCCACCGCTAGATCACACGCAGGGCCAACCGTAGCCTAACTTTATCTTTAGCTTTACCTTTGTGGTCTTTAAACTTACCAAGCAAAGAATCTCATGATGATTGATAGGATGGAGAGTGTGCAGGGAGCAAAGAATTTTCGCAGCTCTGTTGACAGAAAAGCAAATAAAGCAGCAACGCAGCCAGGGAATACTACTATGCTAGGTGTATACATGCCTGGACCAGAGCTTATTGTATCTATTCCATTCTATACTAGTTCTGGTGATGCGTGTGTGCATGCAGTACAGCTTGGTTTTCTTGTCCATCAGATCGATCTCTACATTTGGCTTGTTCGCTAAGCTAGTTTGTTCTGGCCGGTTCACCTAAATCCAGCTCCGCAATCATATCAAGGTAATGTAACTGTGCCAATCGTCTATACTGTATATGATCTGCAGGAAGCTTCTCCAAATTTGTCAAGCTTTTAAATACTTTTTTAACGAGACATGCTGTAATTTCTCCAAATGCTTGCATTGATCCTATTCCCTGGACATCTGTAGGAAGGAAGAATTAAGCCTGGGGTCTTTGGTGCAGTCCATCAGATCCATGGGTTAGATCGAATCGAATGAACCAACTCAACTCTAAATGAACCTGCAGATTGATTTTAGTACATCATGGCGCCGAGGGTACGTAATCCAGTCATGCATCTTGATCTTCAGCAATCAATGTTGCAGGCTTAATTTAGATTCGCATTTATATTATATTTTGCTTGGTGCCCTGTTCACTTTGTGCGCTTGTCTATATATTTTTTTTCGCTTTTGTTTGAGAAGATGATGAAGCTAATTACATGCATTGATCATGTATCTAGCTAGACAGGACAAATATTTAGTACTATATGACCCATCTCTTGGGAAGATGCTATCATTCCTCTGTCGTCATGGTTTTCTATCTATGCATGCATTTGGCGATTGACTTTGTTTTATGAATAGATGTAGCCCAGCTTAAGCGTTTCGTTGCACACACTGTAAAGCATCTATATATTCCTAATAAAGTTTTATTAAATAAGTAGAACATGCAGCGTAATAATTAAATATTATCTTTGTTATTTCTATGTATTATTTATGTAGTTAAAATATGTCTTATAACTTGAATTTTTTGAATAAACAAAGGTAAAGTGATGAACCTCATCAGGTGATTATTATACACTGCAGGACATCGAGATCAAAGCAAATACCATCGATGATGCAGCAGGAGAGATACTCCGTATTTTGGAGGGTGTGAGCAAACACGAACGAAATATCTACTTCCATGGATGGGGTGGACTTGGAGCATCCGCTACTCTGAGAATGGTAGCCCAACGCTTGAAATCATCAGCCACTGAAGAAATGAAGTTTGACAAGGTTGTTCATGTGGATTGCTCATTGTGGCAAGGAATGAGAGCCCTGCAAAAGGCAATTGTTGAGGAGCTGGAGCTTCCCCAATCGGTGATGGCCATATTCGACCAGCACGATGAGGAGGATGATTTCGATGGGATAGACCAAGGCTCCAGAGGGGTGATATTGGAGGTCACAGAGGAGATCTTCAGAAAGCTTGTTAACAGTACATTTGTTGTGATTTTTCACAACGGGAGTGGCCACTACATTGATTTGTACCAGTGTGGTGTCCCTGTAACAATATTTTTGAGTAACAAGGTGTTGTGGACCTGGGGCAGGAGGCTCCGACTCATTGACAGATCTGATGTTGATGAAGTCCATAAAACTCCGACTGAGGCTGATATTGTCGTGAGAGGTCTAGAATTTATGGGAAATATATTGCATGAAGAGGCCGCAGAGGTTGCTAAGTACATTGGTATTCTTGAGCCTGACAGAATAGTTGAGTGCCTCCAGTACATCTGGGCAAGAAGATGTGTCAGCAGTATCGACTGGGAAACGCATGCTTCAAACTATTGGGTATGTGATGGGATTATACAAGAGCAAGACAATATATCTGGATGGAAGGTTGGTGATGCTCTGCACAGACTCATACACTTGGATTGGATGAAGGAGGTAGATAATCCCTACCGAAAGGTCACGAGTCTTCGAACTTATCAAAAAAAAGAAGATAATCCCTATGCAAATTGGATTGATTCTTCCCTTTCCAGTTCTAATGACCGTTGGGTTTCCGCCACACACCAAGCCCTGCTACATGATATTGATGTTCTTCCTCCTCAGGCGACATCCTTCTTCCTCCTAGCTGGTGGCAAGGTGATATTACCAGCTGGCATTTTCCCAGACAACAATAGGTTGCGTGTGCTACATCTATCTTGGTGCACCTTCAGTTTTACATTGCCTCCCTTCCTCTGTTGCAGCCACCTAAGATTCCTCTTGTTGGACCATTGCACAGATGTAAAAGAGGAGGAGCATCAAATCAGTAACCAAAATGGATCATGTTTCCAAAAGCTATGGGTGTTGGACCTGAGGAATACAGACTGGTACTCAAACACAATGATGTGTTTAATGGATGAACTCAGGGAGCTGAATGTGGATGGAGTCAAGGATTGGATGAGCATAGTTGAACTATGTGGCAGTAGAGATAGACTTGTCAAGCTCCGAGTTGCAGCTGGCCCGGACTATGTAACAGAAATAATCATGCACCAGCCAGCTCCTAACATATCCAATGCCAGCCACCTTAAGATAATAATCCTTGAGAATTGTGTTGGATTGGAACAAGTTGTCCCCGAGGTTCTGCCCCCATTGCTTGAGTCATTTAGTTTCATCGTCACTAATGTTGCTATTCCTAAGATATCTAGCATCTCCTTCCGGGGCCGTGCCAAATTGAAGAGTATGCTGCTAAGAGGCGTGATGAAGAACCTCCAGGAGCTGGACCTCTCAGGAACATCGATTAAGACCCTTGACCTCAGAGAAGTTGTAGCACTGAACCTCAAGCGGATCATCCTATTGGGTTGTGAGAAGCTGCAAGCAATACAATGGCCACCACCTTTCGAAATGGCAATCTTGGAGATGATACACATTGAAACCATCCGATCTAGATCAGCATCTGGCCATGCTAATTGGGAAGAAAAGGCCAAGGAGACTAGTGCTGCTACAGGGTCATCATGTATTGTTGCAATCGCTGCTACAAGTCCAGCTCCAACCTTTGATTACTACATTTCTGTAAGGGATGCAAGACTCCTTAGGTCGCTAAGGCCCATCATAGTATGTTTCAACTGTTGTAGAGGAGTGAGAGGACCTTTTACCTTACTAGATATCGACTTCTCTACAATGTCCGAAGAAGATTCTGACTTAGGTGGACATATAGAGATAGCTTATGTTCCTGCAAATAGCATTGTTGTTGGTGATAGCGGATGTGGTCAAGGAATTAGACAACTTGATCATTATTTATATGAAAGAGATATCACGTTTCAAGACCACCTGCATGCTGTTGCTGCTAATGAAGGTGCAATCTGCTGGATGTGGGCTAGCCCGCCTGCTGTTGTCGCCGAAGAGTTAACGGGCTGGTATATCCGCATACAAGATGAAGAGGAGATGAAGAGTGAATTACTGCAGAATCAGAGCAGGACCCAAGGAACTAGTGCTTTAATCCCTGGTTATATATGTGATCGTGCTAAGAAGCTGCATGTGCATGACAGCTTGTCCATCACTAGCATCCCATTCCCATATGTTATGGTTTTCCCATATGATTTTATAGATTGGCGCTCTATTGTTAGACAATCCTGGAGCCACCTTGGATGGTGTCAGATTGAGAGGTGCCCCAACCTAAGCTCTGTCTTTGCTACTCCCACCTTGGATGGTGATGAGGAAATCCATTCTAATGGGTTTGAATGCTTTCGTCAGTTGAACACGTTCTGGGCATCCCAGCTCCTGAAGGCACGCTTCATCTGGATGTGCAGCACAATGTTCCTACCCAATAATAATTCCTTTCAAAACCTAACCTTCTTGCACCTGGACTATTGTTCGAGGCTCATACATGTTCTCCCCTTATCCGCACATATGACTACCTTACCTCAATTAGCAACCCTCGAGATCGTGTGTTGTGGCGATCTCATGGAGATCTTCCCTTTGGACCCTGAGCGCCAAAAGAAGCAAACAATTATATATTTCCCCAAGCTGAAGCGCATCCACCTGCATGATCTCCCTAGGCTCCAGTGCATATGTGGGAGTAAGATGTTAGCGCCAAAGCTCGAGACTATCAAGATAAGGGGCTGCTGGAGCCTCAAGCACTTGCCTGCCGTTGCCAAGCAATACCCCGAGGTGGACTGCGAGAATGATTGGTGGGACAACTTGGAGTGGGACGAGGGGGATGCGAACCACCACCCTTCGCTCTACAAGCCAAGGCACTCGAAGTACTACAAGAAGGCCCAGCTGCCGAGAGGCACCGTACTCAGGTGAGATATATCTGGCTGAGAGTATTATGAGCGGCTCCCGTTAGGGTTTCCCTCCGCCGCCGCCGCCCTCCCCCGCTCCCGCCGCCCCCGGCCGCCGGCGGGCGCGCCCCGGCTCCTCCTCCCCCTCCCCTCCTCCCCCGTACCCCCCGCGTCGCCTCCCCGAGCGAGGCGGCCGGGGGCTCCCTTCCCT